CATTTGTCTAAGCATCTCTCTAGACACAATTCCAATTTCTCTTAATCCTGTATTTTAATCTATTATTGTATGAGATTTTCCACCAATATTTTATATTTATATTTTAAAAGACTGAAAAAATGCCTATACGATAAATCTAAACAAATATAGATTTTTTGTTCACTCTGAGTTTTAAAACATTCTGCTTTGTCAAATTTAGTATTTATCACTAGGGATGTTAGGAAATTATAGCTCTATTTGAAAACCCAAACAGCTGTTTTTGTTATATTTGTTTGTTTATTAAAAGTTTATTCCAACTTCATCAATTTCAGTCAAAGAATAGTCTGTAGCAATCCAGTCTATTTTGAGCAGTATTAGCTATTGCAAATAAATGGCTTATACTCACAATAGCAAATTGCGCAAAATCTGATTTAAAAGATCTAGCACTACATAAATTCCTGTAGAAACTCAACAGGGGTTACTTCTGAATAGATAAACATAGTATTATACTATACGTCAAGGTTACTGTAATTCAACAGTTTATTTAATAACTATGTGCTTCCCTATGGGCAGTCTAAGGAAAACGTTAGTGAAGAGTATCTTATATGTAAAGGGAAAGTATCAGTATTTAACATCACGTGCATTCACATTTTTTCAAATATACCCCCATATTATAAAAACAAATATTAAATATACATTCCTTTATAAACAGATGGCATTAATATATATTCAGTAATGAAGCATTTTCTGGGCATGCTTTTGTTGGCTTTGTTAATAAATGTACTTTTTAAAAACCATAGGTGCAACATCCAAACTGAATTTTTTATATATCTATACTAAGAACAACCCAATTTAACCATACATTGGAGAATAATAGTCTAGTCAATAATGTGATATGTTTCCCCAGATATCTCTGCAGTTGTGACATTTTTAGTCAATACACAAAGGCCCTTATTTATCCCATGTAACACAAATATAAATTTTATTCTGGTAATAGGGAGGCATTACAAACAGTAGCTATTAGAACTATATATTAAAATGACAAGGAGGGCCTTTCCAAATAATACAATGTCATAAAATAAAGTAAGTAAAAAGTAAAAACATTAGCAGACTGCATATAGGATTACTGAGAAGATCACACAGCATTTATTTTTCTATTACCAAAACAAAGGGAGGTTATTGGTAGCAATGAAGTCTGCATAAAAATGGCTGAAAAGCTGTATTAGGCAAAAAGAAGGTAGCCAGCCACACCCAATGCGAAGTGTTCAAAATAAAATCTTGTATGACAAAAAGGGAAAGATATTGTTTGCTTCTGGTTTTTCACCCTGTAAATTATCACAATATATTTTGATATGTTGTCCTCCCCCCCCTCGCATCTACAATAGCCTAAATGACTGGCAATAATGAAGGCAAAAGTACAGAATAAAAAAAAAAGGTAAGACAGCTAGACCTTTGAGCTTCAGCATCAAGTGGCGTTCTCACACTGTTACAATGGTCTTTGGAGAACGACAAGCAGGGATTTCAGAATGGGTGTGTCTCACTGCCCCACAACGCAACACACAGAAGCTCACTCCAAAACTACAGTACAACTGACACCAGAAACAAAACCCCAACCTCCATGGCTGCCTCCCAGCCACTCAGATGGGTGATCCCCTAAATTGCCGATGGGGGTACTTAAGAGATCAGCAATAGGCTGGCTGGCTGACTCAGAGATAGAAGCAATGTAGCGTTTGTTTTTAAAAAAAAGATGTATGAGAGAAAGAAAGCAAAAGGATGCAAAGAACATTATTGGGCTGAGTTTTCTCCCCCCCACACACCCTTTTTTTGCCTTAAATGGGTAAAAAAACCAGCCTGAATAAAAATGTGCAGAAAAGGAACAGACTCCAGAAATGTTATAAAAATGATGATGATGATGATGATGATGATGATGATGATGATGATGATNTACTTTTAAAGCCCTACATGGTTTAGGACCTGGCTACCTGAGAGACCGCCTCCTGTCATTTACCTCCCAGAGACCAATAAGATCACACAGATTAGGCCTCCTCCGGATTCCATCTGCCAGTCAATGTCGGCTGGCGACTCCCCGGGGGAGGGCCTTCTCTGTAGCTGCTCCGGCCCTATGGAACAATCTCCCTGTAGAGATCCGGACCCTTACTACTCTTCCGGCCTTCTGTAAAGCGACTAAGACCTGGCTGTTCCGGCAGGCCTGGGGCTGTTGATTTATGCAGCCCCACCCTAAGTTGTATGCATGTTGTTTAATTTTAATGTTTGTCTCTTTTTAATTTTTATATATCCCCCCCCCCTTCCTATCTGTGAGCCGCCCAGAGTCTCTAGGGATTGGGCGGCATACAAATGCTAATAAACCTTGAAACCTTGGCCTACATACAGAGATTAGACATTCATGGGTGTATAGGCATAAATTCTGCCTGAATCAGAAAATGTATAAAAGAGCCTTTCAAATGACTTGAAATGAGTAAACATAAAATACAAAAGGGTTACAGTATTAAACCTATTCATCCAGACATCCTATTCATTATGAAAGTGGGTGACTGAGCTACTCTCACTTCATCTAAAATTATTGGCTACCAGAAGTACCGCATTAGTATTGATTATTTTACAAGCATACTGATGCTGTCTTTATGAATTATTTCTGGTCACTCCTAAAAACAATCCAATTAGGAGCAGTTATTTGAAAGAATTTGAGAGTGAGGACTACAATAATGCATCTCCAGATTCCTGTGTTGCCTTTGGACTGACCTTACTGCCTTTAGCACCAAAATTGCTGCTTAAGGATAAAAACAATAGAGGCACAGCATCCAAATCATGTCCAGAATTCTAGATTCTTCATTGGTCGGGCTGCAACTGGAGTATAGGTCCTATATTTTCAAGATGCTGTCAACCCAGAAGCCATTTTGGACCGTCTTCAGGGCTGCCACAGCAAGGCTGGTTGGAATGTGGGAATGGGAAGATAGCTGGGGACTTGTAGCCAAAATAAAAATCCTTTCTCCTGGGAACCAAGGATGTCCTCAGCAGGTGATGGGGAAGCATGAACTGAAACCAACTGGAGTTGGGACTGTGACCTGGTTGGACATGTGGGAAGAACTTTGATTTTTAATTTGGGTGGAGAAAGCCTTGGGACCTTCAGAGTCAAGTTTTTATCAGATGTGCCAATGTGACATGCCTAATAAATTTGGACTTTGAGGAGCACCTTGGCCTCAGGGCTTTGATTGCATTGGGTCCGTTACTTGGAACCTGATAGATCCATATTGAAATGCGTTTAGAGAATGGCAGTGAAGGAATTGTAAGACCTGAGAATGTGCTTGAGGGTGGGCTTGAAAAGATGGATATTTAGCCCGGAGAAGTGAAGAGACAGCTATCTTCAACATCTCAAAGACCTGCCACATAAAAAACATCTACTGCTTGTTGCTCCAAAAACTAAAACAAATATTTGATTATTTGGCTATTGAAATTTAGAAAAGCTAATTAAAAAATGGAAAGCACTGCCTTTAGATATAGAACACTTGGAGATAGCCAGTCTTTTATCTGCCAATCCATTCAAACTCATTAATTACCCTAGGAAACCATCATATCTAAGTCTGGAGGAAAAGACTGCAATTATAAAGCATATGAGCTAGGGATCTAGAAAATATTTTGTTTTGAATTAATTAGAGTGTTGACCTACAAAACGTTCTGCTTTGTGTGGAAAAATTACCATCTCAAACACAGAATGGTTATTTTGAGCATCTGGGGATTTTTCAAAATGTGTGGTTTTTCACTTGAGACAGCTGTCTTGCCCTAGCAACAGAAGATTTTACAGTTTCACTCTCAAAATAAAATGGTTTATATACCAATAGCATGTACATCTCTGCTCAATTTGCTGATTTAGAAGCTAAATGTCCATGATGCATTGATGGGCCTGGTCTACTAACTCTATAAACTGCAATTGGGCTGGACATCCTACAAGATTGTCCTCTGATAGATTTCTAAAACTGAGACCTGTTCTCTGTTAAAGTAGGACTTATGACCACCCTTATATTCTAGTACAGTGTTTTGCAACGTTGGCAGCTTGATAATGAGTGGTCTTCAATTCCCAGAATTCCCCAGCCTGCACGGTCTGATACTGGCCTTATACAAACATGAATGAGAAAAGAACTCCTTCTGAAGGAAGAGATTCTGAATACCTTTTTTGAGAAATTGGGTCCTCTTTGCTGTTTATTAGGTGATGATAAAGAAATAAGCCAGATGGATGTAGGTGGGGCAAAATGAGGGAGCATTCACAGCAGATGGCAGTTCGAAATTAAGCTAACAGATCTTGGCTTCAGACTCCATTAGAGTTTTGCTGTCATGCTTAGAAAGATGTAGCTGAACAAGTCAGCCTCTGGCACTTCCCAAATATTCTAACAATACATGCTATTCCCCCTCTCAAAAATAACCTATCCATATATATATATTTAACAGGAAAGGGATTCTGGTATTATTCCAACTTCACTGCAACAACAACAAAAATCCACTCCAAATAAATTATATATCTTAGGCAACCTCTGAAATAAAGCCGACTATGATGCT